ATGCCCTCCTCTCAAGTGTGGTCATAATTACCAAATTGTACCTCGGCTCCCAAGTACACATAGTCTGAAGAAAATTGAATAACGTTAATTAGATCGATAGTAAAAAAAGTAAAGTATACAAAACTTAACTAAAAAATATATACCTTAAATTTATTAAACATCGCCTGGCGTGTACTGTTTGGAATCTCGCTCCAAGAGTGATAAGCATGTGTATAAGTCTTCTAACATAGTCTTTTAAAGCCCGGAAAACATCCTTTGCAAGATGCCACCTGCAAAACACATAATAAATATGTTAGTTCATGAATAATATATTAAAGTATAAGAAATAAATAAAATAAACTAACAAAAAGATAACAAACTAAACTTAAGATGATCCATTCGACTCAATCATGACTCTTGGTCTGTCCTTCTGGCCAGGAGCTAGACCAGGCATCTCATCATCTGGTGTAGCACTAGGTCTAGATGAAGGTGATACATCATGATGCACAAAACGCTGAGTTAATGGAAGCGAACCGGCCATAACATCTAATTGCTCGCTACTAGAATCTCCAATCCTCATGGTAGATAACTGAGGAGATGTACCTGTGGGAGATGGAGTATCTGCCGATAATGGTCGTGCTCGATGAATAGCCTGTAAAGGTAGGTCCTCGTAGCGTCGTGGAGGCAATGCCTGTAAAGTAGAGGAAGCACCGAATGGTCGACCGTAATTAGGATAATATTGTCGTGGATCTGCCGTACCAAACGGAACAACAAATATATGAGTATCATGGCTAATGCACTCTAGTGCAGAAGAAATAGATCCTGCAATATCCTCAGGATCTATGGGTCTCCTAGACTTCTTCTTTTTAGCATGTTTAGTCTGGCTAACTCCAAGATGCTAGCGATGTCTATCACCATATCCTCCTAGTGACCTTTGTATGCAAATTTACATGTATAATATATATAAAAATCATAAATTAAATAAAATTAGCAAAATACACTAACTTACATATATACTAGCTAGCTTTCATTCTACATTATTCCTTCTCGCTTGTTTCAATTCCATCATTCTCCCATTCTTCCTCCTCGGTTGTTTCATTTTCATTATCGTCCCATTCTTCGTCATCAAATGATTCATTTTCCTCATTCTCGGATATTTCTTCCTTCAACATTCAGTATCTCATCATCAGATACTTCTTCTAATATGTGTTGAGGATGTTGTAGTGTGGTTTCCAATTCAACATCAACTTGTTGTTGAACAATTGCAATATCATTTTGATACGCCAGATCTAAGACATTGTCAATTTCAATTCTTTCCACAGGCTTAATTTTTATAACAACCCACCAATCATCTTTGTCTCTACGCAATGGATATGGAGGGTAATACACTTGTTTAGCATTTTGTGCAATGATAAAAGGAACATAACTTCTGTATTTCCTGGTGTGCTTAACTTCAATTTATATTATGTTGATGGTCCACCTTTGTACCTCTATGTGATGGGTCAAACCACTCACACCGAATAATACAATATTCTTCTTAGGCCAACCTGAATACCTCACTTCAATAATCTCATGAATAACACCATAATATTTAATAGTTTGGCCAGTACCATCAGCATCACCTTGTATGTAGACACCGTTATTATTTGTTTTCTTGTTCCTAGAAACTTCTTCAGTTTGAAACTTAAAACCATTGACACAATACTTATTAATTGTCAGTACTTGAGATTCAGATCCAAGTGCTACTTCTTTCACTAATTGCAAATGTTGGACACGTGAGTATTCATCGTAAACCTACGTGATTGTTATTTCAAGTAATATAATTTAGTATAACACGAATATATTATTAAATACTTAGTGATTGCAGACTTACATAGTTCCTCAGCCGTTTGGAAAATTTGGTATAGATGACTTCATTACCCCATGTGTTTACGAACAAGTTGATCATTTTACATTCAAGTATTTCGTTAGTTAATGAACACTTATTAATATGTGATTTGATAACATATTTTTAACACTTACTTGACATATAGTTGAATCTCTGGACAATTATGTGTCACATCTAATTTCATTTCCATATCAGTGAAGCCTCGCTTTCCACGCTTTTTAGATCCTTAACCATTATGGTTAAAAATTGATATCGGTGTAAATAAAGGATCAATATCGCCTTCATCATTGTGATTGGTCCTGTTTCTCCTACATGAGACATAATCACCAAAGTAATAAGAATAAAAATCACCAGTTTCTCTCCCAATATGACCTTGAACAACTGATCATTTGATCCTTCCGCTTTGCTTAATCGTTTGCTTGGAACTGTCAATTTTTCTGCATGTATATATGCATATATATGTTGATAAAATACTTGGTGAATATTTATAACTTAGTGAATATTTCAAATGAATACATCCATCTTGTTTGGACCAGACCTCCGAGGCGGGCCTCTTGTACAAGGTGAATTGGAAGATGCTCCATCACATCAAAGAAACTACATGGAAATATCTTCTCCAACTTAGTAGTAGTAACAATAATATTTTCCTCCATCCTGTCTAAACTACTCTCCAACAACTTTCCAGAACACAAATCTTTAAAAAAAAAGGACTTATCTCTGTGAATGGTTTCCATATCCTTTTGGGTAGATGGCTAAAAGCGATAGGAATTAAAGTTTCCATGAACACATGACAATCATGACTTTTCATACCTATCAATTTTCCTTCATTCATATCTACCCGCTTTCCTAAATTCGAAGCATAGCCCTTCGACATCCTCAAATTTTTAACCCACTCAATAATTTTACGTTTCTCATCCAATGTGAATGAAAAGCTGGCTTTGGGCTTAACTATTTTACCATTCTGTAATTCCTGTAGTCATAACTCTTTTCTCCTACAATATTCCTTTATGTTCATTCTAGCTTTTGGATTGTCTTTTGTCTTACCCTTAACATCCATCACTGTGTTAATCAAATTGTCAAAATAATTTTTTTCAATTTGCAACACATCAAGATTATGTGCTCGCAGATTGTCCTTCCAATACAGCAACTCCCAAAATATTTTTTGTTGGGTCCAATTAAGTTCAACACCATATCCAGGAAGTCTAGAAGGTGAAGTTTTTGTAACTTTAGGTAATTGAGAAACTCTCTCCCAAATTTGATGCCCTGTGAGTAATGGAGTGGGGGTCACTCTCAACCTTATTTTTCCTAAATGCATTTTTCATCTTTCTAAACTCATGGTCCATTGGCAAGAACTGGCCATGACAATCAAACTATGTATTTTTTCTGCCATGCTTTAAAATGAATGCCTTACTATTTCTATACAATACGGATATGCTAGCTTTACAGCTGTCATCCAACCAGACAACATCCCATATGCAGGAAAATCATTAATACTCCACATTAAAGAAGCACTAATAACGAAATTCTGCTTAGTTGATATATCATAAGTCAAAACGCCTTCAAACCACAATTGTTTGAGCTCATCTATCAATGGTTGTAGATAGACATCAATCAAACTTTTTGGATTACGGGGACTTGGAATAACACAACTTAGAAAGATGTAGGGACTGGTCATGCACATTTCAGGAGGAAGATTATATGGAGTAAGAAATACCGGTCAACATGAAAAGGCAAAGCAGCATTAGAGAATGGTGTGAAGCCATCTGCACACAACCCCAATCTAACATTTCTTGGTTCACTAGCAAAATCAGGATATACATTATCAAAATGCTTTCATGTTTCACCATCAGATGGATAAGACAAAATACCCGACGACCTTCTATATTCACGATGCCATCTCATATGTGGGGCATACCTCATCGATGCATACAACCTCTTTAACCTAGGAATGAGAGGTAGATAATGCATCGCCTTAACTTGGACCATCTTTCCAGCCGGAGTCCTCTTATAACGAGCATGTCCACAAAACTTACAATTTTCTAATTCACTATGAGTCTTGTAAAACAACATGCAGCCATTAACACAACATTCAATTCTATCATACGTCAATCCTAACTTGGAAACCAAACGCTTTGCCTAATAGAAGTTCGGGATAAGGGTCTGAAAAATACCCCAACTTTGGTCGAATTTGTTGTTGCGATACTAAACTTTCATGAGGACTTATTACCTCCCTAGACTATTTAATACCGTATTTTAAAAATATATATTTGCCCACGTGGACATAAAAATAATGTAAAATTATAAATATTAATGTGTCCACGTGGGCACAGGCTAATGGCGTCACTTTTTGGAGCGACGTCGTCCGTCGCTTTTATGTCCGTCATTTTTTAGCAGTTTTTTAGTAATGGTATATCTTCCTTTCTTTTTCCTGATAAATTAATTATTTTTATTCCTATTACCATGTAATAGCTCTATAAAAGAACTCATTTAAATGGATAATTAAGTCATAAATTTTCAATTATAATAACTCTAATATAAAAAAATAGATATTAGATGGTACTAATTTAAGGATTTTTTTTAGTTTTTGATAAAATCAATTTCCCATGAATGAAGTTAAAATTACAAATCTAAGTGTTGGAATTTGTTATCTAATTTATTTGTAATTGAAAATGAATAAAATCATCTTATTGATTTAAATTGTCAGTATTATTTTTCCTCCATTCCCTTAATTATTATGTTTTGACTAGTTTAATCTTGGCGAAATATTCTCAATGCCTTTGCAGCAAAGAGCATGTAACATAAAATAAGGAATGAAATTGTGATGGAGATTTAGTTTTAAAATAAGTGACTGTGCGTAAGTTTAGAAATCATGTGTTGAGTGTTAATCACAAGTAATAGTATTTAAACAACATTTCACAAGTGAAAAAAAGAAATCTTTCATAGTTGTTGTCTCATTGAGACCGAGCCCTAAGATCAAATAAAAATTCTTGTTGTCACGGCCGGTCGATAAAGGGCCAGAACCGCTAAAGATTTTAAGGTTCGACCCTTGACCCTCGTAACAACAACAATAGGAAGGTTAAAAAAAATAAAAAAAAAATAAAAAAATATCTATATAAAAAATCTATATATTAAAAAAAAAGCAGAGATGGGAGGTCCTAAGATAAAGTATACCTTTCTATTTCTATGTATCACTTTTGCTACTATAATACCGAGCCTTATGGCTCATATTGGTCACTACGACGAGGTGTGGAGGAGGAGAGCAGAAGAAGCAAAGGAGTATGCCCGTCAAATTTACGAGCGACATCCTGAAAATGTCACACTTGCATTTAACCAAAAACTTCGCAAGTTAGTTTTATTTTTTCTTCATTTTTTTATGTTGATCGTCTTTAAGTACTATATTTACGTTATGATTTGTATTGCAGCACGATGAAGGAATTAAAGGAAGTGAAAGGTACCAATAGCACAAGGAGGGGGCTAGGGACAAAAAAGTACTGTGGACCTTGCATAGTCACAAATCCAATTGATAGGTGTTGGAGATGTGACCCTAATTGGGCAGACAATAGGAAAAGATTAGCAGATTGTGCAATGGGATTTGGATCTAAGGTCACGGGTGGCAAAAATGGTGAATTCTATGTCGTCACAGATAATTCTGATGATTATAACGATCCAAAACCCGGAACTCTTCGTTACGCTGTTATCCAAAAGGAGCCATTGTGGATCATATTTAAAAGGGGTATGAACATTAGGTAAGTAGTCAAGTTAGTCACACATAAATATATATGCAAATAGAATTTCAACTTGAAAATGATCATTATTTTGAATAGGTTGCACCAGGAGATGATCATGCAGAGTGACAAGACGATAGATGCTCGTGGTGTTAATGTTCACATTACTAAAGGCGCTGGTATAACCCTCCAGTACATCAAGAATGTGATCATCCACGGACTTCACATTCATGACATTGTTGAGGGAAATGGTGGAATGGTTCGGGATGCTGTTGACCATATTGGGATACGTACAAAGAGTGATGGAGATGGTATTTCAATCTTCGGTGCATCCAATATATGGATTGATCATGTGTCTATGCAACGTTGTTATGATGGTTTGATCGATGCTGTAGAAGGATCAACAGGTATCACTATATCAAATGGACATTTCACCGATCACAATGAGGTTATGTTGTTTGGTGCAAGTGATAGTTCTTCGATTGATCAAGTTATGCAAATCACATTAGCTTTTAATCATTTTGGGAAGAGATTGGTACAAAGAATGCCAAGATGTCGATGGGGATATATACATGTTGTTAACAATGACTATACTCATTGGAATATGTATGCCATTGGTGGTAGCATGCATCCCACTATCATTACACAGGGTAATCGTTTTATCGCGCCTCCAGACATCTTCAAGAAGCAGGTAACAAAGAGGGAGTATAATCCAGAATCAGTGTGGATGCAATGGACATGGAGATCAGAGGGAAATCTATTCATGAATGGTGCATACTTCACTGAATCAGGAGATCCAGATTGGTCCAAGAAACACAAAGATCTTTATGATGGAATATCAGCTGCCCCCGCAGAAGATGTCACTTGGATGACTAGATTTGCAGGTGTACTTGCCTGCAAACCAGGAAAACCTTGTTAGATCACTAATTAATTTTTTTTGTATCCAGCCAGATCATCAATTGTAAATTCATTTTTTCCTCTCACTAAATTATTACCCTTCATTTTTTTTTGTTCATACCGGCTACCTTTTTTTTTCTCCTCAATGAAGCCTTAATTTTTTACATTATTTTTCTATGTAAGTTCAAACAATTTTACTCTTCATTTCAAATAACAACAGATAGCTCTTTATATATACTTATCTCTTCATTTAATATGATCTAAACTCTCTAATAGAGAATTGTTTCAACATGTACACATCTAGCATGCCAAAACTCATAATAGTACCATTAATTGTTAATTTGGCTTTTAACAACTCTCCACATTAATTAAAAGAAAAAAAATACTACTATAGTACCCCGTGTGCGCAAATATTATTGCATTAAATTATAGTTATGATTTTATTTCTTTGAATGTGCTATATCATATTGAATCAATAAATATATAACGATCATATTATCAGAGGCATAGGCACATGTATGCCAGGGTGTCCAATTGGACACCCTTCAACGGAAAAAAATACCGCATATACAAGTAAAATGATACACGAAATGATTAAATAACATATTTTGGACACCCTTGACATAATCAGTTGTTATAGCCTAGTGGTTTAAGATGTCTTGAATGTGTGTTTACACATCTTTAATGACACAGTGCTCGCGTATTTTTTTTTAGTAATCAAATATATATATATTAAAGAGAATGGATTGGGTCGAGCACATTTATTAACTAAAAAAATAAAATAGTGTAAACAATTTACATGGCTTCGGTCCAAAAGTGACCAAGCCCAAATTTAATTTAGGCAATATCTAATCAAACACAAATAAAGAAGACAAAACTAAAAAGGAAAGAGACAAGAACAGTAGCTCTGGAAGCTCGAAAAGTCACCATGGAAGAGATCTTCAAGCTGGCACTGGAGGTTTTGGAAGCACAATTTCGCGGCCGAGTAGAGATTCACCTTAGGCGTTCACAAGTCTCATGAATTCATAGTCAATGAAGACTTCTTCTACCACTAAATCAGAGGTTCCTTTTCTACCGATGGACAGCATTAAAATTCTCGAGGGATCAATCTTCAACTCTAAAACATAGTTAGGTTTCCATTTCTTCATTCTTAACAGGTTGAGCTACAGAAGAGCTAATACCACTGTCAAAGAAATTCGATCTGGAATCTAATCATGTCATATCGGAGATGTCGACTTCAGGTAACAATCCCTTTATCGTAGACTATCTGCCACCTTGCCCTTCAATTTAATTTATTGGATTATTGGTTGTTGTTCTCGGTGTTTTGTTGCTTGCTGTAGATTTCATATTATTTTAACACTTATTTATTTCTATATATGGTGTGCCCAATTTTTTGAGTTCTAACAATTCCCTTCCTTTACTTAGTATCTCTCTCAAAGAATTGATATTATTATTATGCTCATCTTTATCCTCCACCCCATCAACCCTGCTTTCTTTAATTTCAATTATATTAACCTCATGCAACTGATGTGAAATAATTTCATGTAGGTCTTGCATAGGAGAATCTTTCTCTGTATGAGGAATAATAGGGAGTTGCTCTTTGTGCTCCATTGTTGTACAATCTGAAGATAGTGGTATAGGGTACTCAACATTAGCAATCGCAGTGGACTGTTGGACACATATTAATTGTTCCACATCCGTTCTATCTACTCTTTTATTACTACTGATCTGGCTGCTTTGATTAAGCATTAGTTGCCTGTTCTCTTGAGCTTACTTCGAAGAGTTGACCAAAATAATCTATTATTTGATTCAATTCACCAAAATAATATGAAACTTTGAAATTTTACAAAACTAGTATAAACGTTGTTGGTAGTAACGTATTAGGCTATATTTTAAAAAATAAACTGATCAAAATACACTGGGTAGACGGTGTTAAAGTAGATTTACATTACTGCCACGTTACTGGCAGTAACGTTTTAGGCTTAAAACGTTACCGTCAGTAACGAGTCTCTGCAAATCTGCCACTTTCGAATCTTTGTACCAAATTTTGTTATTACGAAGCACGTTTTAAAGGTAAAACGTTACTCTTAGTAACAATTATGTCAAATTAAATCACACGTCTGCCACCTGAGAATCTTTGTACGAAATCTGACATTAAAGTCGTTACTATGAGTCACGTTTTAAGACTAAAACGTTACTCAGAGTAACGATTCTATCGAATCATGTCACGGGACTGTGAAGATGTCTTGTTGATTTGATCTGCCAATTAAACGTTACTATACATTATGTTTTAACTTTAAAACGTGACTGGCAGTAACAACAAACTGCTAAAGTTCCTTTTATAATTTGACCACGAATCATTATAAGAAATGGTTGTGTAGAATGTTTAGCACATTCCAATTATTTTCTACAAAGCTTCTGTTTATATGTTGGTTGTTCAATCAATACTCACAAAATTTTAATAGGTATGGCTTGTCATTATATTGTAATGTATTTATAAAAACATATTCTTAATTACTATAATGCATCTTATTTTTTTGTGTAGGATTTTTTGATGGCTAATTTTGAAGATAATGTGATGATTGCTTTCTATTTGGGTGGTGAAATAATCAATGAAATGAACGAATTTCGATATAACGAATGTACTAGAATGATTATTAGCATGTCTATTTCAACCAATTATGTAGAATTAATTAAATTAATGCATGAGAAAATGGGGACTGATGGTGAAAATATTCAATTGGATATTTCTGGAAAATATACATGCTTGTTTAAAAGAAACATTACAAGGTTTAATGAGTTCAAAATTGAGAATGATCAATCTTTGCTACAATTTTTTGCTATTCCTCATAAATTTTTGAACTGGATTGATATAAATCTTTTGGAGATGTATATAAAGGTTAGACCAATAAATCAAGATAATCTATTTCGAATGAATGATCAACATGGTTATCATATGAAATTATTGGCTCAAAATTATGGATTTTCCACAATCAGTCAACCTCAATTTGCATACAGTGCAACACATGGTATCCATCAATCATTCGGTGTAGGCCTTAACGAGCATGGATATCGATCATTTAATGAATGCTCGAGTAGTCAAAGACATATTGAGAGTAGCCACAACCAATATGAAATCAGGTAGAGTAATCTTTTCATATAAAAAAACTAATTCTATTTAGTAGCATGAATAATTAATTATTTTCATTTTATGTATTTCATGAAATTAACTTGTTTTTTTCTACAGAGAAGATGAAGCTACCTTTGATTTGTGTAATGATGCACATGCTCAAAAAAGCAATGAAAATTCGGAGGACGATGAATCTTCAGAAGATGATGGAGAGAGTAAAGCCATTGAAAGTAAATCTGATGAAGATATTGGAGATTTACCTCAAAAAGATAGTGGGGTAAATCTTCAAAATTAATTTGATCAGGATGCATCTGAAATGTGAAATCATGATATACATTACTTTACAACATTGGAGAACGAGGAAGAAATTTTTATCTCTACTCGTGAATTCGAAATGAAATGTTGTTCTGTTTGGTCCGAGGATGCAAAAAATGATTTAGAAAAAGATATGTGTTTTAGCAGCAAAGCTAAATTGAAACGGGTTGTGACAATTTGGAGTTTGCGCGAAAAAAAAGAATTTAAGGTTGTAATATCAACTAAGAGCTTATGAACTTTAAGATGCAAGTTTTATGATTCATTGGGTTGTCCATGGTTTCTTCGAGGTCGGAAGGTTGAGGTAGTGTTGACACCCAATTTTGACCCTCCACGATATGGATAAATTTTTGAGCTTCTTTAATTTCAAACAATTTGGAATAATTAATTTTATAAAAATTCAAATATTTTTTCAAGTAATTTCAGTCATTTTATATTTTTTTTTTAAATAATAAATATGTTATTTTATATAAATATGTGTATAATTATTATATTTTATGAATATTTGAAATTCGTCTAAAACAGATTATAGTTTTACTTAAACAGTTGGTTAATTGGTTTAGTTAATTAATACTTATATTTTTGAGTTATTAATAAATAATTAAATTAATTATTTTATTTCGTTGAAATTAAGAAGCTCATTAATTAATTAATATTAATTCGTTTTATTCAAGTCCTAGCCTAATTCATTGGATTATCTCAATTTGGCTAGGTTTCAAATTACATTTGGCTATAATTGTAATCTAATAACCATGTTTGCAATTGCAAAATTAGCCATCTCCTTTTTAACACCTAATTTTTGCTTAATAAATCAAATTTTTGGCCTTTTTCTAACTTTCCAGCAACCCAAGACTTGACCAGCCCACTAATATTCCCAGCCCAATTATTTTCCCACAAAAGAACAACAACAATACAATACCAATGCAGCGTACAACAATACAAACAGCAGCAGCGACCCAGACCCCTGAACTTGTTTTCTTCTTCTCCAGAAATTTCAGCGACCCAGAAAATAGTGGACCAGTCCAGCAGTACGTGATCCAGTGCAGCAGCAGCCCAGCGAACCAAAATCTCAACCCGAACCCACTCTCACGCGTCGTCCTCTCCTCTCCGTACGAAGAATCATCTAGGTGTCAAAATCTCGTTGCCTCTTCGTTCTTCATCTCCAGATCGAGCAGCTCTCATTTTCATTCCGTTGAGGAATTGTACAAGATCGTACTAATTCCATCTTTTCAGTCTTATCTTCAAGAGGTTTTTGAATTTCAATTTCAAATTTCATTCAAATTTCACTCGAATTCCACCCAAAAAAATCTGCCCTAATTCCCTCCTATAAATAACCCCTTATTCTTCTTTGTAAGGGGTTGAAAAAAAAATAGAGTTGGAAAAAGGTTAGAAAAAATGGAGTCAATATTCATAAATTAGATACAACATCATAGAGAAAATACAAAGGTTTTGAACCTTACCTCCAAAACACCCAAAATCCTTCCACCGCTCCACCCTTGCCTCCAAAACCTACTTTCCAAATCCTAGTCCAAAATGAACCTTACACTAATTATTCTAAACTCGATCATTATGAGGGGCATGAAAAAGAGTGGAGA